CAATGGATTTGTTTTCAATGTGATGCATAAGTACATGTATTATAATAATAATGATGATGCAATTAGTTTAATGAGTGGTTGTGTATAGTTCCAGTTGCTGCTATCTTAGCAAACTCTGACTTTCTGCATTATGATCATATGAAAAAAAAATGCGTCTATTGAGCATAAGAACAAGATTTGATGCACACAGGTCTACATGTACCATTCATACTTACTATACATGTACCATTCATGCTTACTTATAGAACTATATATAGTAATATTGTATGTATAAAGTACAACCACACTTAGAAAAGAGAGAGAGTAAGCTTATATGTGAATGAAAATACACGTATGTGCTTGTATGTAGGGTCAGCACTCCTAAATTATTCTACTGTTCAACAGAAAACTACTAACTTTTACTGTTCAAAGCAGTCACTATAATCTCAAAACCAATACTTGTACTTCACTTACAGTCTACAAAATGAGTAAATTCTACTGTTCAACCAGAGTTACTGTATATCTCAAAACCAGTACTTCTTTAATGTAGGGTCACACTTTGTTTGTATTGTGTTACAACTGCATGTACATATATGGTCTGATAGACCAGCAACTATACTTGGCAACACATACACTACCCAACAGCACAAAACAACATATTTACTACATCTGGATAGTTAATGTATTATAAGTATAGATTAAACTCTTCCCTTTCTACCATCTCTGTCTCTCTCTTTTTCTCACTGTAGCATTATAGCGTAAAGCGTTATTGGTTAAGAGATACAAGGAGCTGAAGGACTCAGGATAGCTAGAAAGAGTGTTGAGAAAAAGAAGTGCTACAAAAGAAAGGAAGAGGATGTTACGTCGTCACTCTGTGACATAAGATTCATTTAATGTATTATATAATAAAAGATGATGAGCTTATAACAACAATAGTAATAATAAAAACTAAGCAATCACATGTGAAACAGTATACAGTTTGAAAAAATAGACCTAATATTATGTGCTTTAATAATAACTATAATACATGTAATCACAAGAATAGTAATAATTATCCCTGCTAATAATAATAAAAATACTATATCTAGTTCCAACAAGTGTATATAGGACAACAATGCCTAAGGAAAGACTAGAATCTACAAGAAATCATGATGAAACGAAACAGTCAAACTTTGACCAAGTTCTTTTCTTGACTATGAAAGAAGACACCACACACTCTGCTGCAGAGATTAGAGAGACTCAGCTCATAAAATAAGACACCATACAAAAGTAATATTTTGCTCATCATCAGAGAAAGGTTGAGGAGTTCACAGTTTAGCAACAGTTTTGATTTCATCGCCTGTCAAGGCAAATACATTGAGAGGAAAGATTGGAGGCTGGCTGAAGACACTACAGGTTGATGGCATGCAAAGATGGAACTTTTCTCCTTTAGCATTTAACTTGTAGTATCTAATGGAGGGAAAAAGAACAATTAATTTTCTTATCAAAGGAATTTTCTCATTAACAGATAGGCAAAAACAGTAGTTTATTACCTCGTGTTTTCTGTGTAATAGATGCCTTTCAAAAATACAACTGCATCAGGTCCAGGACCGTCGGTTCTTGCTCGACAAGACTCTCTTTCATCCTGCCCGGCCCGCTCATGACTCTCTCGAAGTGACCGGCTCTGCTGCTCAGAGTGAAATGAACGCTGAGGCTTCTCTGCACCAGCATCGAGCTTATCTGCTCTAACACTAGTCTCGTCTTGTAACGATCGTCTTTGGATACCTGCCATTTCTTCACTTGAACGGCACAAGCTGAATGTTTAATGCTGAGCACTAAATGTATGGTTGTTCTGAGATTTCTTTCGTTGCTCGAAGGGCGCTCCCTCTCACTTTCTCAGTCACTGAGAATGATGATTGAAAGGAAAATGAGGAAGTAAAATGACTGGAAAAAACACTACCCGATGCTTTTATAAGGAGCCCTCCACGTACTCCCATAACAAACAATAATAATTGCTATAAAAGACGCCCACCAGAAAATGTGCATTCCTAAACGTGTTGCCCCGGTAACAGTAGAATCAGAAAAATTCATTTACTAGCTGTCGCTATGATGTCACGGGGATCAGGATGTGTAGGCGGGAAGTCTAGCCTTAAAATTAAATTCGACTCCTTTTTAACAGTTTTCGGAACTATTTTCTTTACATTTCTATGCCTTAACCATAGATATTATAGACTTAATGCCTTTCAAAAATAAGGAAAAATTTAAAAAATTCAAAAGAATAGGTTACGCAGTGTATAATATCTATGCATTAACCCTATCCGGGCCCTGTATGTCAGACCAATATACATGTATAACATTTATGGTTGGACAGGGCATAGGATGATAGGGCTATGAATTTTTCTTTACCAAGGCTGTTTCGTTTAGGAATGCATCTTTTTGTGGGTACTTGTGGGCATTCTTTCTTAGCCTGTTATTACATGTATTTCTTATACAGTATGTCTATGCAGCATATTCGCATCCCTAAGTGTGTGTGTTCTTGTTCCTCTCCTACCTCTCACTCTGAGGAGGAGATAATACAAACATTCAAAGATGTTGTTATACTGTGTGTGGCACTTCATTACGTTATCTAAATACAATAGCCACTTGCCCAAAAAAGATCACTTCTCCTAGCAGCAGAATGTACACATTGTGTGTGGTTCATTCCTCCCTCAGCAAGATAATACAATGAATAATATGTAACATTGCCATTCAAAAATTTACATTGTGTGTATGTGTGTGTAGCAAACTTATAATCATTAATTCTTAGCTATAAAACCTTAATATTAACACTTATAAATGTTATTGCTACTAATCTTCTTTCTTGTCTATAGGAGATTTAATATCAGCATCTGGATCAACAGGTGCTGATTGAGGTGATTCTTGTGTTAAATCAGCCGATTCTTGTGTTAACTGACGTGAATCTTTAGTTACTTTTTGATTCCTTGCAACCTCATCAACACCTAGTGTTGAATGACATAACTAAACACTTGTTTAAATAACAATTGAAACATTATCATCAAATTCCTCTAAAGCTTTCTGGTTCACTGTTGACATAACACAGAACAATAGCATATAGCATCTACAACTGTTGACATAATGTCAAACACATGTAACACAATTAAGCCCAAACCACATACAAGTAAATTACCTGATGTTCCAAATTCATTAACACGCTTCATGTCCACACGATAAATCCAACGTTGATAGAGATAAATGAAAAAGACAATGTCTGACAGAATATGAAAAGAGAGAAAGAGAGAGAACAGATAAAGGGTAAGAGAATTGTAAAGTTCACTTAATCCTAAAACTAACATCCTAAATCAGATAAACAAGACACTTACCATCGCGAAAGCATCCAATCCGATACATTGTTGGCATTTTAATAACGAAAGCAAACATGTCATCAATGAAAGTATTGAGTGCCTTGTAGGTCAACATGCGCCAGGGTAAGTGAGCAACTGACTTCAATTTGTAATTTATGAATAACTGTGGTGTCATTGTTATAAAACCTAAAAGATGACAACAAGGGAGAGATCATACAATTAATGGCACTTTGTGTTGTAACATTTCATATTAACCTCCCATATTGAATATTCACAGGCATTACAAAAGGCCTTAACAATTAACCTTCATCATTAGGCTGGGTGTACACAGTAACACACCCACATAGTTTTAAACAGAAGCATAAGACAGGCACAAAACTATACATTGGGGATTGCAACAGCTGCTGTATTAGCAAAAGAAGCAGCCTTAAATGGTATAATCATAATCAAGCATTTTTTATAATGATATTCATGATAGTCCAGATCTAATGGTAAACATGTTTATCACAGCAAATGCCAAAGAAAAAGGTCATCAATCTCATCAATGCAAGATTGATAGTCACAGTATCACATGATATCTTATGGAACAACAGAAGCTGATAGAATAATGTATACTGTTTAGGATAAACATGTTGTTACTATACAAAACTATCAATTGTTGCACCTAAAATCACTGTTGATAAATTTACCACACTGCTTTTGCTAAACAAACTTTAAGGGTATTGAATTTAACCTTCAGCTATTATTTTGTTCACATACCAAACGTTAGGAGAAATCCATACAGCATTGATAACACGAAGGAGTACCATCCTTTATGTTCATGATAGAGAAGAGAATAAACTCCATAAGAGACAAGGAGAGGGAACAACAACCATCCTAAATACTTGAAAGCAAGCTTTTGGAGAGAGGGAAAGAGAGAGAGAGGAAAGGAAGTAAACACTTCAAAACACACAACATGATGTACCCTAGAGACAAACATTATGAAGCATGCACCATAAACATTACATATGTGGTATAATACACTACTGTCACTACTTAAAAGCTAATTAACACATGCACACAAACACACACACACACAAACTAATTTCCATTACCTTCGCATGTACATGTATACATGTGTACACACACACACACACACACACACACATGTAAAGTTTGCAAACCAGCCTACACGTACATAATTGTGTGAGGGATTTTTCTCTGTCAACCACAACGGCCATGTGACATAGCCTATGGTTCATACAAGTGATAATTCTAATTACTGATACATGATGATGACATTAT